TATCTAAGAAGAAATAAAAGAAAACCAAAAAAAATCAAACATACTAAACCCTTGTTATCAAATTAAATTTAGAGTCTTCTTCCTCTTCTTCCTCCCTTTCTCTTAGTGCAATCAGTTGGGATTGGGGTAACATCTTCAATTCTTCCAATTTTCATATTAGCACGAGCAAGAGCTCTGAGAGCAGCTTGAGCTCCTGGTCCTGGGGTCTTGCTATAGACTCCTCCTTCACCTCTCATCTTAATGTGGAGGGAAGTAACTCCAAGGTCTTTGCATCTTTTAGCTACATCTTGAGCAGCAGTCATAGCAGCATATGGTGAAGATTCATCTCTATCAGCTTTGACTCTCATACCACCAGTAATTCTAATGATGGTTTCTTTTCCTGAAATATCAGTGACATGGACGAAAGTATCGTTGAAGGTAGCATAAATATGGGCTACACCAAATGCATCTTTAGTTGAACCTGGAATAACTTCTGGAACGTTTGACTTTGCGGCTACTTTCTTTGACTAAAAAGATTAGTATTTAGTTAAAACAACTTCATTTGTTAAAAATATAAATGAAATGTGTAGTGTAACAAACCATGCCAATGGGTTTATTTAAGAACTCGATTTAATTAGTTCAAAAGGGCTAGTAAACTATAGTTTTTTTTTAATTAATAATTAGGTTTTACTAAACCTTTTTTCTTTTTTTTTTACTTATTCACTTATAAAATGATATATATAACAATAAATAATTTTTTATAAAAAGAAATAAAAGATAATGTTATTGATATTCTACAATATGTTGAAAATTATTAGTAGCTTTTTTATCATTACCTATATTAGTTATATTGTTTTGATATATTTTGATGTGAGTTTATTCATTCAAAATTACCATCATTTAATAATTAATCCATATTATTTTTCATTTATTCTTAATTATTGTTATTGTTATTGTTATTGTGTTTATTTTTATTTTTATTGATAATTTATGAATAAACCAACACTTCTTATCATAACTAGATTATCTCCTTATTATCCAATATTTATATTCATCAACTTCTCTTATAATATTTTGTATTTATTTAAATGTTGTTTATTATATTTTCATTTTGTGTATTACTTCCATCATTTAATTGTTTTTTTTTTGTTTATCATTTTCATTATAAAATAATTTCATATTCTAAATTTAATATAATCTTCTGTGAGTAAATAATTAGAATAATTGATTACAAACAAGCATTCAATTGATTATGTGCAATGATGAAGAAATTGTAAAAGTATATTTTCTATTTTCTTATGCTATTTCCTTTCTATTAGTTTTAATATTTCTTTTTTTACATGATTGATCAATTTATCTCTTTTCAACATTTTCATAATAATATATTTGATAATTGTTATATTAATTGAATAAATTTAAACATTTTTTTCATTACAGATTTTCTCATGATAAAATAACTTAATTATGACTTATTTTGTTTAACTCTCTGATATATCTAAGTCATTTCATTTTAACTTTTATTAGCATTTTATTGTATTTTAAAAGTAACATTAGTTATTCTTTAAGTTTTTATTTAACAAGAGTTTCATTAAATTTACTTCTAAAGTGTTAGGAACTTATAAAAATTAAAGAGTGAAAATAATTATATTATTGTAGAAAATGAAAGATTTTATTGTAGTGTTTTTTAAAACTTTAGAACTTAATATCAACTAAAAAATTGAGTGTTTTTATAATGAGTATATTTTTATTCATGAATTATAATAACATCATCTATCTATTTATATTACTTTGAGTATTGTGGTTTAATAGATAAAACTAAGAATGAAAGAAGAGCATTTGTCAAGAAATTATAAAGAGCAAAGAATATCCAGATAATTTTAACCTAAGAAAAGTACAAATGAATACAACATTACCAATATATATGATTATTCGATATATTTTTTATATCAATATATGTTTAATCAACTAAATAGTATAGAGATAATAATTTGATGATATTTATTGAAAAAAATGGTTTTATAAATGATATGATATATTACAATTTTTATTTTCATTAATTAACAAAAATATATATTACACAAAAAAGTATTTACATGTATAATAAATGTATTCAAATATATAATTTGAAAAGATAAATAAACAAATTTCATTAATTAAACTACTAATAATTGAATTTATAACATTTATCAATTTAAATTATAAAGTACTAATTTTAACTTCATTTGTATTTTAATATAACCAAAAACATAACCAAAACAATATGAAACAATTGTTAATCATTACTCCATTCTCTTATTAAATGATATAATATAAATGATAGTATAAAATCAAATATATTTACACTGGTTTAATTTCACAAGAAATAATAAAAGTCTTTATAAATTAATAAACATATGTATTTTCGTATGACTATTTGTAGAAAGATTAATAAAGAAAATAGAAATGTATATTATAAATACAAAAATATTTTACACAGTAATATCATTAAAGAAATATTAAAAAAAAAAGAAGAGAATTTGTCAAGAATAGATGAAGAGATAACCATTCCATTTGATTACATTTGATTAATTCCATATTTAGAATAACATCAAAAAGAATAAAAAAGTTTTTAAAAAAGAAGAAAAATAAAATGAACTAAAAAAGAAAGAAATAATAGATCAATACATTTCATTATATAAATGAGTGTTTCATATGAAGAGATTTTCAAACAAATTGAAGAAGTAGAAACTGATATAGATCGAATTGAGTTTAGAATAACAGAATTAACAGAAGAATTAACAGTTTGGAAAGTTATGTTAAAAAGAATTAATAACAAGAAACAATGATTAAAAAAATAGAAATTACAAGGAACAACACAAGACAAAAGACTTAGTTCATCAATTCAAAATGAAATTATTACAACTGAAAGAAACAATTTTGAAATTCTTTGTAAAACTGTAGAACAAGTTAAACAATTAGAATCAGTGACTCAAACAACATTTAAATCTGCAACAGAAAACATTGAATTATCTCTTGAAAAAAATCATCAACAAACAACAGGAGAAATTAATACTATAAGAGATGACATTTCATTAACAGCAAGAGTTGTAGATTCATTAGTAGAACTACATGATGAAGTTTGGTTCTGAATGTTTTTTTTTTAAAAAAAAAGAAAAGAAATAAAATTCCAATTCAAATAGATATTAATAACTTAGATCGAATCGAATCTCTCATTAAGTCAAATTAGACAATTTTCAATGAAAAATTATTTACCTAAAATCTCTCAAATTGCTGAAATTATGCAACATCATACTATTTATATTTTATCAGAACTGTGGATGTGTGGATTAATTCAATATGAAACTCCAATTCTTTGTTTCTGGAATAATGATAAAACATTAGCAATTCATTTGTTTTCATCATATTGTCTTGTATATCAAAATAATCAAGAATTTAAATTTGATATTTCAAAAGGAATTCTCTCTCGTGTTGAAAGGAATCCTCATTTAAAATGGAAAGATATTGATAATTATGTTTATAAAGAAACACATAACAAAGAAATATACACTCCAATGGGTAAATCTAAATTATCATTTATTGTAAGTGAGGATAATATTTTAATTAGATATGATAGTGGAGATATGATAGCAATTGACAGTCTTGGAGAATGTATTTTTATTGATGGTAAATTAATAACAATCTAATTTACTTGTTTATTTCATTCTAATTTCTTTTTATTATCAACTCTTTTCTAAGTAAAAGTATCTGTTCTTTTTGTATTTTTATGCTGTATTGCGTTATATATAACATTAACGAATAATGTAAACTTAAAAATAGAAAAAAGAAGATTTCAATCTGAAAAAGTAATTTTCAGAAAGTTGAAGAATGAAAACAATAACAATTTCTGTTGGGCTTTGTGGAGATTCAGGTGTTGGGAAAACAGGAATTTTTAAACGATATATTACTGGAAAATACACAGGAACAGAAAAAGCATCAGTGTCTTGTGATGTTAGTTGTAAAAAATTAAATATTGAAGGAGAAGCATATAACCTACAATTGTGGGATACTGCTGGTCAAGAAGTGTTTAGATCAATTACTGCATCATATTTTAGAAATAGACATGTTATGTGTTTTTGTTTTGATATCACTAAAAAGGCTTCATTCTCTTCAATCTCTGGATGGCTTAGAGAATTTCAACAAAACCAAAATCCTAGTTTTACTACTAAACTTATTCTTGTTGGTTGTAAATCAGATTTAGAAGGAAATAGACAAATTACAACTACTGAAGCTGAACAATTTGCTCAAGAAAATAAAATGTCTTATTATGAATGTTCAGCTAAAACGTTTGTACTTTTTTATATTTTGAATGATTTATTTTCCTTTATGAAACATATTATCATTTTATTCTTTCTGTTATTATTAATAATTAATAAAAATATATAACTAATAATCAAGTAATGTTGGTATTGATCAATTGTTTAGTCATGCCATTTCATTAGTTAGAAATGGTGAAATACCATTAGATCAACTCTCAACAAGAAGAAATACTGTTGCAAGTACTATTCATGAAAATCAACCAAAAACATCTAATGTAAACAATATCACACGTACCGCATTTTATCAAAAACAATCTCAATCACAACAACTTGATGCCTCTCAATCAGTCAATTTAAATCAACCACCAACATCTCAATCTCAATTCTCATCATGTTGTTAACATTTTTATTTAATTTGTTCTTTTCTTTGAATTTTTATTATTATTATAACAAAATTAATAAAAGTATTGATATTAAAGACAAAAAACCCTGTTTTGGTATTAAAAAATCAAATTCAATCATTTATGCTCCTCTTCAGTTTTCACAGGATTTGTTCTATTTCTTCTCACAATTTCATCAACATCAACACCAGTTGACTCTTTTAAGTTCTTCAATATTTCATCCAAGCGATGTCTGCGTAACCCTTCAGTTAATTCCTTTCTTGCCTTTTTGTTCTTTTGAACTCGTTTTGAATTAGCAGCCTTTCTCTTTGCCATGATTAATGAAGTGGAATTTATGAGATGATCTTAAAAAATCTGGTTATTTTGAAAAAAGAAAACATGACTGAAACTACTGAGTCATCCGTCGTTAATTCTACTAGACATGACTTTGACTCTTTTAAAGAACGTATAGAGGCGCAATTGAAACAAATTGAAGATGAAGCACTTGCAACAGAAAAAGAAACTGAGATTGTATTACAACAAAATGCTAAAACTAATTCTAACTCACAATTTTTATTAGCGGAGATTAGTGCATTTGGAAAAGAAATGGAACAATTAAAACAGGAGATGTCTGATGCACAAAAGTAATTTTATTTTAATTCATTAGTCATTGAAATATTCAATTACTTTTTTTACTTTTTCATATTATAAATCATCTCGAATTTTATTAAATTGTGCATCAAAATATGAAATAACTTTCACTATTTTAATGTCAAACTTAAGAATAGAATTAGCTGGAATCATTCCTACTTCACGATCTCCATACCCAAGGTGTGGTGGAATTATTAATGTCAATTCATCATTTTCACATTTACCTAATAGTCCTTGTTCCCATCCAGGAATGACTTGTCGTACTCCAACTTGAAAAGTAAATGGTTCATCTTTAATAGCAGTTGTATCAAAAAGGACACCATCTTGTAAAGTTCCATTATAATGAACACTTACATAATCTCCATATTCAATGTGATGTTCACATTGTTCTTGTTTCTTCTAATTAGTTTTTTTTTTCCTTTTCTAATAAAATTTACAAACTTTCATAATAACTTCTAATTTTTCTATTCCACTTTCTGCTTTTCTAATAGTTTTGAAGACATCATCATCACTCATATGATAAAAACGATTTGCAGATGATAAGGTAAAGAGAAGAACAATAATGATGAGTTTCATTTGAAATTATTTTAGTTTTTTCTAGAAAAAATAAAAAATCTGAAAAAGGTGTATTATAACGAAGTTTCATGACGTTGTTTAAGTTAGAATATATGAATGATATTAGAATTGTTGAACTTCAAAACCTCACCATTGTCTCTCTCTATGATGCATTTACAAAAAAATTTAATTTAAAAGATGTTAGGTTAAGACCACGTTATTTGATGAAGTTTCTTGATACAGACGGAGATTGGGTAACCTTAACTGATGACACTGACATTCTTTTAGCAATGAAACAAATGAAGAATATTACTTTAAGATTAAAACTTGTTGGTTTGTTTATAGTTTTAATTGCTTAGAATATTCAACAATTCATTTGTCTATTCATTTATTCATAATTAGATAGTTATCAAACCGCTACTAGTTCAATGAATGAAGAATGGGACTTACGACCATTATTCTCTCAATTAATTAATTCTCCTTCTATTCAGAACAGTATCTCAAAAATGGTTGAAAATATTCTTCAAACATCAAATCAAGTGGTTGAAGTTAGAACAAAACCTGAAGTAGTTAAAATGCCATCAAATTATAATACATCACAAAATGAAATGGAAAATCTTCCAGTATTAGATGATGATGGTTTGTTTTATTCATTGAAATAAACAATGTATTAATTTTTATAGTTGTTGAAGTTGATTAATTTAAATCTTCTTTTCCTCTAATTAAAGTTTTGTATTTTTACTAAATGAAAAGCAAGTTGTTTTATGGGTATATAAATGGATGATTAGAAAAGAAAGGTTATTGAATTCTACGATATAAGTAATGAACACTTCTGATTGGATGAAATGCAATTCTACAATCCAGTTAAAACCAATCACCAAGATTGGAATGGTTGGAAGTCATGATAGTGGAACATCTACTATTTTACCACAATATGGAATTACTCCTTTCACAATATTTCCCAAGAAACATCGTTCATTCATGAAAAGATGGTCAAAGACTCAACAACTTGGAATTAGAGATCAGTGCATTGCTGGAATTCGATATTTTGATTTCAGGGTTGTTTATAATCATAAATTGAAGAAATTTTATTTACTTCATGGATTGTATTGTCAATTACTTGAAACAGCTCTTCGGGATATTACTTGTTTTCTCACAGAACATGATGGTGAAGTTATTATTATAGACATTAATCATTTGTATCAAATTAACTCCTTGAATAATTTTCAATCACTTTGTCTATTGATAGAGGAGTGTTGTTCTAAACATCTTGTACTTAATGACTATAACAAATTCATGATTCCTTTGTCACAACTTGTGCATATCAAACAACGATTGTTTGTGTTTTGCTTAAATCCCTTTAACCAAAAACTTCCTCTCTATCTCTTTCCACAAGACCAGATTGATTCAATTTGGCCAAACAAGAATGAAACACAGAAAATGTTAAAGAGACTTGATTATAACTCAAAGCTTTATCAAAACAACCAAAAACTGACAATCATTCAAGCTGTTGTTACTCCATCTATAAAAAGTATCAGAAAGAGTTATTATACAAAGAAGTATCCAAACTCAACTATCAAAATTGCTGAAAAAACAAATCCATTAGTACTTAAATGGCTTCAGACATCATCAGCATTTGTAAACATACTTCTTATTGATAATGTCAAAATGAATGACGAAATCGTTCATTTTATGATTAGAAGGAATAATTTCATTGAGAAATATTAATTGAATTTTTGTTTCTTTACTTATACAGCAATAGGAATTAAAAACTTTAATCCTCTTTTATTAAAATAGAACAAACTTTAAGGTAATACAACATCATTTGTTTCTCTATTATTTCTTCATTTATTAACATTTATAAAAGGGTTATATGATAGAATTAAGTCTATGGTACGTTTTTGTTTGAATGATTCATGGTAATTATTTTATTCAAATTCAATAACAAAATAGTTTATAATATCTAAAAAATATTTTATTTTCATAACAAAGATTAACAATAATTTAATATCATCAATAATTGAAAAACCGTGATGATAATTCTAAACAGTAACAATATTAAGTGAGTCTGATTGTTGAATACTAAAATTAATTGATACATTTAACTACCAATAATTCATATCTTTTTTTTTATTTTAGGTAAGAAGATTATTATTTTGTTATAAAAAAATTGAGTCATAATAAGGTTTGTATTTTTTTTTTAAGAACAAGTTTTTTAACTTGTTAAAGAACCTTTGTAATTGGTTGTGATAAAAATATTGTTAAACAATTAAACCATTTTCTATTTCTAATAATACTAAGAACCTTCTTAAAAAAACATTACTCCTTTATAATTGATTTATTCATCTCTCTGTATATTACTCATTTAGTATTTTTTATAACTTATTTTTATTTATTAATTTTACTACTCTTTTAGATAAATTAATATCAACAGAATGTGCTTCAGACTTATTTCATTGAATAAGTACTTAGTCTCTAATCAAAATATGTTAATAACTTATTAATTAACAATTTCTATAACATAAATTGTAAATAATATTAAAGAGATAAATAATAATTATAGCTATGAACCAACTTTGTCTAATCTAAAGTCCAAGGTATTGATGGAGAGTTAACTTCTTCTAGTCTCTGCAAAAAAAGTTATAAAAAATAGTTAAACTAACAAAATAGAAAAAATGGGGTGTGAGTTATTTTCTGTCCTAATTATTTTGTAATTAGGATTAGACCTTTATTTGCTTAAGCTAGTTTTTATTAATTTAGTCTCTTCCTAAGCTTTTCACTGTTTTAAAGAAAAATGTTAGT